ATTCCTGCCTTACCTGCTCCTCCTGCACTTATGGAACCAACTCTTTCCTACTACTTAGTCCTTTCATTCCCAAAGTAAAGCACCCTTAAAATGAAAAGTGGTCAATGTAAGCACAAAATTCAGGAAATATGAAGCAGGTGAGAAGTAGCTATTATGGGGACTAGTGGAACATAGTGGCTATAACCATGCCTGGTCTTGGGAGTCTAGCACACCTGGGCTTGCATCTTCGTCTTTGCCACCCATAAGCTATGAGGCTTTAGCCCAGTACCTCGATGTGTAGAAGTGTGGATAATAGCCATACTGGCTTCATGGACTTGTTTGGATTGAATGACAGAATGTGAATCTCTCAATCCTGGCTAACAGTTAATTCTCATTAAATGTAGGTGAGGATGAGGATGATGACTGCTGAGTTCTGACTCGTTGAATCTGCTTAAGATGTCCTTGGTCAGTGTTTGAAAGTGGGCAGGTAAGGATAATAGTTTTTTTAAAAATGATAAAAGATATCCCATGTTCCTGTATTGGAAGAATTAATATAATCAAAATGGCAATTCTAGGAATTAGTCCTAGTGGAGTGAGCGAGCCGAGTGGTTGTGTGGTACCTTGTTGGAAACTGGTAGCACTTGCAGCATGGCTGACCAACGGACTGAAGAGCAGATTGCAGAATTCAAAGAAGCTTTTTCACTAATTGACAAGGATGGTGATGGAACTATAATAACAAAGGAGTTGGGAACTGTAATTAGGTCTCTTAGGTAGAATCCCACAGAAGCAGAGTTACAGGACATGATTAATAAAGTAGATGCTGATGGTAATGGCGCAATTGACTTCCCTGAATTTCTGACAATGATGGCAGGAAAAATGAAAGACACAGACAGTGAAGAAGAAATTGGAGATGCATTCTGTGTGTTTGATAAGGATGGCAATGGCTATATTAGTGCAGCAGAACTTCTCCATGTGATGACAAACCTTGGAGAAAAGTTAACAGATGAAGAAGTTGATGAAATGATCAGGGAAGCAGATATTGATGGTGATGGTCAAGTAAACTATGAAGAGTTTGTACAAATGATGACAGCAAAGTGAAGACCATTGTATAGAATGTGTTAAATTTCTTGTACAAAATTGTTTATTTACCTTTTCTTTGTGTGTAACTTATCTGTGAAAGGTTTCTCCCTCCTGTCAAAAAGATATGCATGTATAGTAACTAGGACTCATTCCTCCATGTTTTCTTCCTTATCTTACTATCATTGTCCTGAGACCTTATTTTAGAAAATTGATCAAGTAACATATTGCATGTGACTTACTCTGGATATATCTAAGCCCTTTTGCACATCTAAACTTAGATGGAGTTGGTCAAATGAGGAAACATCTAGGTTATGCCTTTTTAAAGTCGTTTTCTGTAGGAACTCTCAGCATGTTGTTGTTGCATTGTGGAGCTGTAACTCTGCATGGACTATGGACAGTCAACAATATGTACTTAAAAGTTGCACTATTGCAAAACGGGTGTATTATCCAGGTACTTATACACTATTTTTTTGTACTGCTGGTCCTGTACCAGAAACATTTTCTTTTATTGTTACCTTTTTAAATTTTTTTTGGAGAGGTTTTCACTATAGAGCGCATGCGCTCACCAGACAGATAGAGACAGAAAATGAGAAATCACTCCCCAGGGGGGATGGCCATGCCACAGTCCCTTCTCCTCCATTCTCTTCTCGGGATCTTGGGCACGCATGCACATGCACCCGGCGTGAGTTTTAAGCCACCGGGTCTGAGACGTGAACTGTGGTCGACTACATGGGAGTCTAGTGACATAGCCATTAGGTTAACTGCTGGTTCCCATGCTACTTGCTTTTTAAACTTTGTTTAGCCACTTGAAGAAAATCTGCTTATGGCACAATTTGCCTCAAATCCATCCCAAGTTGTATATTTGTTTTCCAATTAAAAAATTACAATTTACCCCCAAAAATGGCAGTTCTACCCAAATTAATCTACAGATTTAATGCAATGCCAGTCAAAGTACCAGACAAATTTGTCTGGAATCATAAAAGACCCCGAATTGCCAATTCTGCACAAGAAGAGTGGAGTGGGCGGCATCTCACTTCCTGACCCAAAAATATACTATAGAGCTGTGGTAATCAAAACAGCATGGTACTGGCACAGAAACAGACATGTGGGCCAATGGAACAGAATAGAGTTCCCAGAAATAAATTCCCAAACATACAGTCAACTGATTTTTGACAAGGGGTACCAGTCAATCCAGTGGGAAAAGGAAAACCTCTTCAGCAAATGATGCTGGAAAAATTGGATTTTCACTTGCAGAAAGATAAATCTGAACCCCTACCTCTCACCTCTGACAAAAAATAAAGTCAAAGTGGATCAAAGATCTAAATCTAAGATCTCAAACTATAAAACTGCTCCTGGAAATCACTGAGGAAACTCTGGGAGACATTGGGGTAGGCAAAGACTTCTTAAATAAGACCCCCAAAGCACAGTTGATAATCCCCAAAATAGACAAGTAGGATTACATCAGACTAAGAAGTTTCTGCATGGCAAAGGACATAGTAATTAGTGTTAATAGACATCCCTCAGAATAGGAAAATATTTTTTGTAAACTATACGTCAGATAAGGGACTGATAACCAGAATTCACAAGGAACTCAAGCAGCTGTTCCAAAAAAAAGACGATCAATACTATTAAAAGATGGGAGAATGAGTTGAAAAAACCATCCTCTAAAGATGACATATGAGGGAACCAGCAGTTAGCATAATGGCTATGTCGCTGGACTCCCACGTAGTCAACTGTG